TTTTTTTGAAACGGAGTCTCATTCTGTCACCCAGACTGGAGTGCAATGGCCAATCTCAGCTAACTGCAACCTCCGACTTCTGGGCTCAAGTGATTCTCCTGCCTCAGCCTCTCAAGCAGCTGGGATTACAGGCACGTGCTACCATGCCCAGCTAATTTTTTATTTTGTAGTAGAGACGGGGTTTCTCCATATTGGAGTACCAGGCATGTGGCACCACACCCAGCTACTTTTTGTATTTTTAGCAGAGACAGGGTTTCACCATGTTGGCCAGGCTGGTCTCAAACTCCTGACCGCAGGTGATCTGCCTGCCCCGGCCTTCCAAAGTGTTGGGATTACAGGGGTGAGCCACCTCGCCTGGCCTTGTGTTTGTTTTAGAGGCAGGGTCTATCTCTGTTGCCCAGACTGCAGTGAAGTGGTGTGATCCTAGCTCACTGCAGCCTCCAACTCCTGGGCTCAACTGATCCTCCCGCCTTAGCCCCCTGAGTAGCTGGGACTACAGGTGCACATCACCACATCTGTCTAAATTTTTTATTTTTTGTAGAAATGGGCTCTCACTATGTTGCCCAGGCTGGTCTCAAACTCCTGGGCTCAAGCAATCCTCCCACCTCGGCCTCACACAGTTTGCTGGGATTATAGGGGTGAGCCACCTTGCCTGGCATATTTGTAATTTTCATGGCCATGGCCATGTCGCCTCCTCAGGGAATAACAGCACCATCAAGGGAGGGCAGATGGACCGACTGTCTTCTCTGTGCCAGGCTGCGGTTCCAGCCTTTCATCCTTGAGGCAACTGGCAGCTGGGGCATGGGGGTCGGAGGTCTGGCTGGGCCACCTCTTCTCTCCTGGCCTCTGTTCACCCTCATCACTGCTCATGGAAGGGGAGGTCTTTGCCTGCTTTACTGAGAGGGCGGTGGAGGCTCCGAATGGGGAAGGAACTTGCTCTTGGAGATGCCTGGTGCCAGGGCTCTTGGTCCCGAGCAGACCTTTCTAACCTGCCGCTCTGTCAGCTGTCAGGCCTGGCCCTGTTTGCTGAGACAGTATGGGTGACAGCTGACCAGTACCGCGTGTACCCACTGATGGGCATCTCGGGCAAGGATGATGTCTTCGCTGGTGCCTGGATCGCCATCTTCTGTGGCTTCTCCTTCTTCGTGGTCGCCAGCTTTGGTGTTGGCGCCGCGCTCTGCCGCCGCCGCTCCATGGTCCTCACGGTAAGGCCTGGGGGAGGGGGGAGGGGGACACTGGGAGCCAGTTCAGTGGCAGGCGCCTCGCCAGCCACCAGCACGAGTTCCCCACGGTGCTACACTCAGGCATCCAGGCATCTCTCACTCAGTCTTCCCACAGCCCAATAACCCAGGCCCAGCAGGTACCCGTTTCACAAAGAAACCAGGGCACAGGGAGAGGAGCAGGGCTCTGCACAGCAGGAGGACTTGAGTAGCAGGGCTGAATTTTTGTTTTTTGTTTTTGGTAAAGATGGGGGGGGGTCTCACTATGTTGCCCAGGCTGGTCTTGAACTCCTGGCTCAAATGATTCTCCTAACTCGGCCTCCCAAAGTGCTGGGATTACAGGCGTGAGGCACCGCACCCAGCCTTTCTTTCCAGGTGTCTTATGGGAAATTTCGATTGTGGACTAGCCTAGAGTATGTGGTGTCTGAGCCCCGCACACCTCTCACCTGCCCAGCAACATCAGCCGCGGACCGCCCACATTGTCTCCTCCACCCCCCTTCTCCCACACTTTTCTTCTGGGTATCTTGAAGCACATTCTGGATGCCAAGTCACTTTCCTGTAAATACTGGAGTGCACATTTCTGAGTGATAAGCACATTGTTTTAAAGCAGTCAGGTGTGTTGTGTGATGTCATCCCGTCTCCCAGCAGCGGAGTTCACACATCCGCATGCAACCTCCTGTTGCTTTATGGGTGAAGGTGCAGGGGAGGATAGGAAAAGAATTTTCTTTTTTTGAGACGGAGTTTCGCTCTTGTTACCCAGGCTGGAGTGCAATGGCATGACCTCGGCTCACTGCAACCTCTGTTGTCCAGGTTCAAGCGATCCTCCCACCTCAGCCTCCCGAGTAGCTAGGACCACAGGCATGAGCCACCACGACAGGATAATTTTTTTTGTATTTTTTGTAGAACCAGGGTTTCACCATGTTACTCAGTCTGGTCTCAAACTACTGAGTTCAAGCGATCCACCCACCTCAGTTTACCAAAGTGCTGGGATTACAGGCCTGAGCCACCACACCCCACCCTGATTTGGATCTTGCTCCTGCTCCCAGGATGACCCATGTCCTGGCAAGAGAGGTAGCAGGTGGTGCTCACACCCCTCCACCCCCAACCCCTCCACCACTACAGGAGCCTGGGACCCAGAGGCCATGGGTCCTGCACAATCTGGAATTTCAGGTCTATAAATCATGGGGGTGGCAGGGAGCCCATCAAAGCTGTTCACCCATTCTGGTCTGCCGGCTCGGCCTCTTGTCCACCCCCCACACCACACACACACCCTCCTTCCTTCCTGGGAGACCGGCCCAAGGAGGGGCCTGGGCATATATATGGAGCCACAGTGGGTGGGGCTGGCCAGAGAGGCTCCAGGGACAGAAGGTGAGGAGGGGGCTCTGGGAATCTGGGTGCAGTATGGGGGGGTCTGAGGCTCAGGAGCGGCAGTGCCCGGTTCGGGCCAGTGACTGCCCCACCGGAGCCCAGGTGTCCTCTTCTGCAAAATGCCAGAACTGTGGGCACAGCGGTACCAGCCTGGGCCCTGCAGAGAGCCGGAGCAAGCCCTCACAGCTGGGGAGGCTCGGAGCTGGGGGTCTGGCTAGTCCTTTATACTCCTGGTCTCATCCTGCTCCTATGTCCCGGGCAGAATGATGGCGTCTGCAGCGGCAGCAGAGGCCGAGAAGGGTTCTCCAGTTGTGGTGGGCCTGCTCGTCGTGGGCAACATCATTATTCTGGTGAGACTCGCCCTGGTGCTGGGAGCGGAGTGGGTGTGTGGTGGGGAGGGGGCAGTCCTGAGCTCAGGGTGGGGGACGAGGGTCCAGAACTGCCTTGAGGGCAGACTCAGCCGTCAGCGCAGCGTGGATCTACACCCCAGCTCTGCCTCTCCCCAGCTCTATGACCTTAGCAAGTGACTGTCCCTCTCTGTGCCTTCTTTCCTCATCTGTAGATTATGTCATTGTGTGGGGGCTGTTGACATGTGGATTGATCCATGCGTGGCCCTCAGCTCAGGGAAAGTGCCCAACCAATGCTGGCTATCACCGTCAGCATCACTGTGGACATAATGCAACCCCCTGGTGCATAGGAGACCACAAGAGGGAAAGATGACAGCGTCTTTCTTTCAATTAACGTTGGGTTTTGGTTTTGTGCTTGTTTTGTTTTCGTTTTTTT